TTTCTTACATCCTAGTTGTTTTTAAGAGATCTTTTTTTACTTTTTCACTAGCTGCAATGGTGTCTTTAAGGTCAGAAAGTCCGTTTTCACTTGTACTCAAATGGTTTTGTCAGCTTGTGCTTGAGGTTTTAATTTCCTGTATATCACTTTGATTCTTTTTCATACATTCTATTTCTTTCCTATATTGCTTTTTCAGGGGTTCCATCATTTTTATATTCTGCTCTTTTTTTTTTTTTATCAGTGTATTCTTTGGAAGCACTTAGTACTTCTTTGATTATAGTTATCACTACATTTTTTCAGTTCAGAAATTATTTCTGATCTGATTTCTTCTATACCTTTCTGCAGTTGTTTCTTTACGATCAGCGCTATAATTTCAGAGATTACAGGTGTGTGATTTACAATTTCTTCTATGCTAGTGTCTTCTACTTTTGTTCTGGGTGGACTCGGGGCCTGAGACTGCATTTTGTTGCTTTTCTTTGTCATTTTCTTTGTCACTATTTTCTGACTTTTGATGTAGAGCTTAGATAGAATTATTACCTTAGCACCAGGTCCAGATCTACAAAGTTTAGATTCCTCCAAGTGGGTGTTGCTTGGATCTGGCTGGGGTCTGGCTGCTGTGCTCCACTTATTTCTACTGCAGCCAAGTTGAACCCTTTGTGTCACTCTGACAAGATGTTCTACTCCTGAATCAGCTGGGTGGGTCTTGCCTCTAGCCTCTTTGCAGGGAGTTCTGCTGAAGGGTTCTGCACTGGGCCTGCACTCTGGGTTGAATGAGGATCCAGTGGCCCGCAGGCGGTCTTACTCACACACCGGGCCTGGGCTCTGGGTCTATTCAGGATCTGCGGGCCCAGGTCATCTCACATGCCAAGCCTGGGCTCTGGGTCTATTCAGGATCCGCGGACCCCCAGCGGTCTCACTCACACGCCAGGCCTGGGCTCTGAGTCTATTCAGGATCCCCGGCCCCAGGAGGTCTCATTCACATGCCCTGGCATGGGCTCTGTGTCTATTCAGGATCTGCGGCCTGTGTGGTCTCACTCATACGCTGGGCCAGCGCTCTGGGTCTACTGTTTTTATTTAGAGACCGGGTCTCACTATGTACTATAGGCTGGCCTTGAACTCACCGTGTGCCATCAATTTAAATAGTTTACATAATCCTTTACTTCTATAAGTTTTTTTTTTTTTTTTTTTTTGAGACAGAATCTTAGTATGTAGTTCAGGTTGGCCTTGAACTCACTGTGTATCCTAGGGTAGCCTCAAACTATGGCAATCCTCCTGCCTCAGACTCCCAAGAGCTGGGATTATGGGCATGTGCCTGGCTAAAATTTGAATTTTATATACTTTTTGGTATCTTCTACTCTACATTGGAGATTAGATCTCAAAGAGGACATGAAAATGAATAAAACACATAAATAAAACTGACTTATTTTGATCTCTCCAAATAGGGCATAGGATACCACATCTGAGTGAGGGGAACAAGGGCCGACAAATGGGAAGTGGAGGTGATGGGGAGCGCTGGGGCTCAGACAGGGGCTCACGAGGCAGCCTCAATGAGCAGATTGCTCTTGTGCTCATGCGGTTGCAGGAG